CCGCTGGCGGAGCCGACCCTCCCCTCCCGGCGCTCACCGGGCTGGAGGAAGGTGTCGCCCGAGCCGTTGACAAGGGGCTTCCAGGGCCACGCAGCCCACCTGTCTCGGCCGGCGGGAGCCCGCTTCCAGCTCCACGGCGGACAGGCGGGTGGCAGGGAGGCGTCGCCGCGGCCCCGAGTGGCGCACGCCGGCTCAGGCCTCCCTGTGTCCACGTCTCTGCGACTCGTGCTCCACCTCGAGCTCCCGGGCGCCTCTGGCTCGGCTCTCGGGGGCTGCCAGCGCCAAGGGCCGGAGGGAAGAGGGAAGCGCCGAGAACGCTGCTAGGGAGCGAACGGCCCAGTGCGCTTGAGCCGGCGGTCACGTGGCGCGCGGCGCGCGGCATCCTGGGAAATGTAGTCCCGCGGGCGTTACTCTCTGCGTCACGCTCTTAGCGCCTCCTGGCAACGGCAAAGCCACGTGTCAAAGTTTAGACGCTGCAAAAACTCGCCTAGAACCATCGCTTTAAGGCTGCACCCCTTTAACTTTATTTAACCGTTTTAACTTTATTGCGGCCCTGGTTAATTACAACTGAACACGTAGGCTAAATCAAGCAATTCCTTGGAGGTGTCTGAAGAAATAAAAAGAGGGGAAAAAATAAATTTCTGTTCTGTTTTGCTTAGACTTTTTATTGTGAATGAGGTGAATGTTTTTGACAGGTGCCTGGCAGGCCTAGAATTGCCGGCAGGCTCCACAAAGCGTATCAGTGTGGTGTCGTGCGGAACGTTTGGGATGAAAAATCAAGTGAGCAGAGCAATTAACCCAAGAGCCCTGGTGGGGCAGTTGAGGAGCCCTGGCGGCTAATGGTTACAAGCTGAACTGCTTAAAGGCAAGGTCAACAGTGGCCTTGGAAACCCAAAAGGGTGGTTCTGCTCTGCTCTTGAGGGTTACTGATTGGGAATCGATTCAATGGCAGAGTTAAGAAAATGTACACACTTGATCATGGTGATCATGGTACTGCCCTTACAAGCTTATTGACAATATCAGTAATCATAATTAACAATTTGCATCAAGGTAGTAACTTTTTATTGGTTTGAACCACTAACTGTATGATAATCTGCTACAGCAGCAATAGAAAGCTAATACTCGTGCATTCAAAATTGATTAAAAATTTTTTTTGAACAAAACTTCCAAGTGGCTATTTTCCTAACACATTTCCAAACTAGGCTGTACACACACACACACACACACAGGCATTAGAAAGTTTGTGGAGATTTTGGGTTATCTTCTCAGAATGAAGTTTAGTTCACGTCTGCTGAACAATTAATTTTATCATGTGAACTATACCAGGACACTGAAAGATGGCATTTGAAACCTGAAACCTGTTTAGACTTTCCCAAAGTGTACATCTGTAGACTATACCAATACCAAGGTCAAAAGCATGCATCTAGATCTTTCATACTAGTAGCAAATTTGTCCTATGGTTTTGAAGGGGCTCTTCTAGCCAAAGTCTCCCAACAAACCACCTTTTCCTGGATGGATCTGGTAAGAAGGTAGGGGGTGATACTGATAAAGTATACCTGAGGAATTGCAAACAGCGTTCCCTGGAATGCCATCCTGCTGTATATCAAAGGAGCCCTCTGAGAAGCAGGCAGTGGTATGTCATAACCAGCAAGAGCCAGGAATGGAACCAAGGGGGTAATGGGTGGTGACTCAGAGTTTTATATTATAGGTGGGGGGTTGGGAAGGCAGAGCCACCTAATACTCACCGATATGCAAGATGTATCTTTTCTTTTTCCGATATACAAGGGTCCTTCAACCAGTGAAATCTTTGAATGAAAAAGATGATACAATTGTCCATAAACTTTCTGAAGCCCCTTATCCTGGCCACTGAAATAAATAAAACCAAACATTGCATATTGTAAGTTTGTCTTTAAAGAGCATCAAATATATGAGTATCTTTGGATTGTGAGGGCAGGGGGGAGTCTTAGTTGTATAGTCGTTGAGCTGCTAACCACAAGGCCAGCAATTCAAAACCACCAGCCACTCCACAGGAGAAAGGTGAGGCTTTCTACTCCTGCAAAGAGTTACCGTCTCAGAAACCCCCAAGGGGAGTTTGACCCTTCCCTAAAGACTGGCAATGAGTTGAAATCGACTCAACACAGTGCGTTTGGTGTGTGTGTGTGTGTGTGTGTGTGTTTTCAGGGAACTGAATGGCTCTGGGCAGATTAAATGAGAGAGACTGGTAAACTTGACTGCCTCCTTGGCAGAGAACTGGGTGCCTGGGCTCTAGAGCAGAAGGAAGATGTCTTATGTACGCTCTTTTACCTTGGGTATTTTGTACCTACCCACCCGATACATATATATATATATATATTTATGTGAATGTCGCAGACTGAAAAGCAAAGGACACGGATACAACGTGCTCCAAATTAAAAGGACCCCAAAGGGGGTTGGGTAACTGAAGACCCAGTAAGTAGGAAAGGCAGTTTAAAGGGCTTGCTTGTCCTCTGGAAAATTCCCTTCAGATTCGCAGTAGTCAATGGGAAAGAAGAGAGCTATTTCTCCATTTGTTCACTTGTTTTCCACTCTTCTTTCGCAGAGTATTGAAGGCGACCTTCAAATAAGTATGTACAGATGATCCAAAAGAGCTATGTTAAAAGCAGGAGGGAAAGGGGGGTGGAGGCATACAGTGGAGATTGATGATTAGGCCATAACTTCTTTTTTTTTTTTAAGAATTAACAAAATGTATTTAATCTAAAAAAAAAAATGGAGAAAAAAGGCTACAAAACATGGCTCACAGGCCAAGATGGAAAGAAAAGAAAATCACATGTGCTAACAGGAAAAGACTGGCATCCAAAGTCATAGGTCAGTAAGGCTCTGTTCGAGTCGTGGGCACTTTTGTATGTGTCGCCGAGATATGCTTGGCTCATTCATGAGTTGTGCTTTGTCCTAGAAGACGGAGGGTCATGGAATCTGTTTCTCTAACAAATACCGTGAAAAACAAAACAGGGAGGCCGCTCCCTTCACTACTTGGATTTCCACCAATTTACTCACTCTAGAACTGTCAGGAAAGACCTGTCTTTCCATTCTTCTCCTCAGTAAGTCATGCATTCCCCCGTGTCTGACAACTTACTCAAGCGGTCCTCTGTGCTGTCTGCATCCTGGTGCCTACTTGCAGGAGGAGCTCTGTGTTAGACACGGTTCTCTAGAGAGATAAAACCAAATTGCTGATAATTCAATATATTTATTTATAAAGATAATTAGCTATATAACAAGGAATGAACTGTTAAATCATATACAGTTAAATATATAATACAAGAAAGAAACAGTTAAATTATAAAACAACAAAAAGCGCAAAACAAAACACACCCCCGAGAGAGAGATGTGAGAGACTAGCAGTCCTTCAAGTCCAATCTGCTGCCAGATCTTCCTCTATTTATAGAGAGAGCTAGGCTATGCCAGCACAGCAGCCAATCAGAAGGCAGGTCACCAACTGCCAGCCAGGTCACCAACTGCCAGTCCCCAGCTCCAGCGATGTCTTAAAGGGACCTCAACTTACAGCGACACAGTCCACAGGCTAGGGGTCCCACAGGTAGTGTAGCCTTTAAATTGAGGCACAGGACAAGCAAGGCAGCTGCACACTGGTCCGATGATCAAAGAGCGAGAGACAAGAAAGGCGAGGCTCACCAAGCCATTTATCTCTCTGCCCTTCAGTTAATCCCACTTGTGTTTACCAGCCAGGCTGGCACAATAAACTATCTCAAGCTCCCCTTCAAACTTGTATTAAATATGGAACTGGTGTGAGCAGTCTCTCGGGCTTGCCTCATCTCAAGACTGTTGAATAAAGTTCGGTTCTGCAGCTTTTCCAGGGCTAGTTCTGCACTGATCTTAGAGAGCCTCTCCGTGTTTTTGTCTAGTTGGTTTGAGAACTCTTTCCTCACTTCTAATTCTTGAAAGTAGAGTTGTTTGTATTGCTCTGCTTCTGCTCTTTGTGAATCAATTTGGGAAGAGAATTCTTGCTCCAGCCTCTTCATTCTCTGCTCCATGTCCCTTGTCAGTGAAGCAGTCTCAGGCCATAACTTCTTTAAATCCTCATGGCTGAGCTTTTTATAGCGTGCCAGCTCTCGAGTGCAGCTTTCCATGTTGCAAGCTGAATGCAGACCTCATGTGTCTCCAGAGAAGGGGGAGAGACCTGGCTTCCCTGGTCGGAAGTGAAGGGTCCCAAAAGCAGAAGGATCCTCCACAAGTAAGACCAACACGGTCCATCCCCCGAAGCTTGTTTTATGCCTGAAAGGAGAGGAGACTGTGGTCAGATGGCTCCAGAATTCATGAGCATGTCGCAGGATAACAGCTCTCAGTGGGGGGAAGACTGGACTGAATTTGTGTGGTGTCTGTGAGCCAAATTAAGCTCAAAGGTTCAAAGCTACCGGGTACCCCTTTCAGCTCAATATAAGAACTTTCTGACAATGGGAGCTACCACCTTCCAGATTCTGAGACCCCCATGTTGTGGTGACCGCCCCCCACCATAAAATTACTTTCGTTGCTACTTCAGAACTGTCATTTTGCTACTGTAATGAATCAGGTGATCCCTGTAAAATAGTTGTTCGATCCCCAACAGGGTGGCATCCCACAGGTTGAGAACCACTGGGATAAGTATTCAAACAAAGTTTCCAACCGAGAGGGAAAGTTAGAGATGATCTAATCCCTTTGTTTTAGTAATGAGGAAATGAGTCTGAGGGACAAGGCCACAAAGTAGATTGAGTAAACTACTTGAGCAGGCTCCTGAAGCAGGGGCTCACTGGGTTCTAGGACAGTCCCTGGCTGTGCCACCTGTTGGCAGTCTGGAAGATTCCGCAGCAGATAACAATGACTGCTCTAAGGGCAGTGACCCAGGCATCTGATTGTTCAGGTGCCTGCCATTCTGGGTGAGAGGCTCCGTACACAATTAGCTCTCCAGCCCCTCCTGCCTGTAGGAGAGGCCAGGTCGGTGGACGATGACAGGACCCTGAGGCTCTGCCTGGAGCCATAACCGCAGACCAGTCAGGACAAAGTGGTTCCTGACAGCTCCCCATCCCCTGAGAGGAGCTGTCCACTGTGCTGCTGGAGGGACAGAGTGGGCAGGAAGCACTGTGCAGCTGTCGCTGTGTTTCCGGCAGGGGACTGATTAGGAAGGCTCACAGACTAATGACAGTTTATAATGCATTGAATGCACTTACCTGCACCGGCAGTTTCCAACAGTGGAGGTACCTGAGTGCATTCAGCAGTCATGATGACGCTCCAGAAAAAGGACAAGTGGCACAGTGGTTAAAGGTGGGCGGTTTGAACTCACCAGCTG